GGGATATTCATATTTCTGACTTGGAAAACATATTGTAGGGATGCTGACTTTTCTCACATTAGACTATTAATCCAATGAAACACCATTAAAAAATCATACTGTAAGTTTTGTTGAACACAACAAGCTTATTCTATGATTTACCTGGAATGATGAATCTGCTTGAATGGCCACGAACATTTTGAACCATAGATTAATGAGCGATAACTTGCTATCAAAAAGTAAAATAAAATTATGGTACTAAAAGGTATGGGTTTCATGCAGGGATAAAGAGATCAGCAGAACAGAACAGACCTGTATAAAAAATTTATATTAGATAAAGTAGCATGTCAAGTAATCAGGGAAAGAACAAACTTTTTGATAAATGGATGTGGGACAACGAACTAGCCATTTTGAGAAAAACAGGTACGTAGATTTTGACTTTCCATCTGTGCTGATGTCTTGGGCTTGCTGCTACAGATACTGTCCCCATTCATTGGCACCCTGGTCTCTGCCAGAGAGGGGAATCAATATAAACTATATTAACGTCAGTGGACTCCATCATCCTGAGAATTGGAGCCAGGCCAAAGGGGAAGACTGGCAGGAAATCAGAGAAAGGGAGTTGGGATCCTTATAACCTCAGACCAGGTGCTTTCCTTCACTGAAGTCTCAGCTCCTGAGAGCTAATGGACTTCTCGGCTCTGTCCTCTCTTTCCCCACCTCGGGCTTCTTCTGTTCTGGGCGGTGAGAGCTCCTCCCACTGTTTTTGTGATTACACCATTGTAAATAGACCCTTTATTAAACTGACCCTAAGGTGCCTCAATTTGAGCTTGCCCTCTATTTTCTATTGAAACTTATTTGTAGCATATCATTCACAAAAGTAAAGTCCAGGGATATTAAAGACCTAAATTTATTATAAAACTTATTAAAATATTAAAACTATGAGAATATATGTATAATCTTCTATGTAGAAAGGTTCTTTGAAAAATAGACACAAATCAAAATTCATAAGGGAAAGGATGGATACATGAGATTAAAATCAAAATTTTAATTTTCTGGATGAGTAGATACCCAAAAGCAATGTGGGTTTTTTTTGTTTGTTTGTTTTTTTAAAGGTAAAAAAATATTTGAAATTTATAACAAAGTATTTTTATTTGGAATATATAAATATTTTTATATAATTATATATAAAATACTTAAAAATCAATATCATTAGAAAAATAGGCAAGAATATGAACAGGCTTTTCACAGAAGAGGAAAGAGAAATGAAATATATATGAAAAGATTCTTACTATTACTAATAATCAGGAAAATGCAAATTAATATAATATACCATTTTTTTTAAAACTATCAGATGGGCAGAACTTTAAAGATTGATAATATCAAGAGTTGTTGAGTCAATAAGGAAGCAGGCTCTGTTGTTTATAGTCAGAGAAGATGTTTAAGTTGTCAAATTTTATAAAGGAAAATCTGGCAATGTCTATTAAAATTATAAATCTGTGTCTTTTCTGATCCCATATCTTGGCATCTACACAGAGATAAAAACTTGCATATTTGTTCAAAGAAGCATGTACAAAGGATGCTCATCATAATATTATTTGCAATAGTAAAAAACTGGAAACAATCTAAATGTCCATCAACTATGGAATAACTAACACATTCCCACTATAGAAGGTTTGCAACCGTTTTTAAAAAGAGGTAGAGCTATATTTTCTGACCTGGATATCTCTCCAACACATTTTATTTAGTGAAAACCAATTCAAAATCAGTACATCATATAGACCATGAAACCATTTGTGTAAATTTAAATTTCCACAAAAAATGAAACTATGTTCTTTTATGCTATTTATCTGCATATAAGCATAAGATAAATCTAAACAATAAACACCAAATTGATATCTTTGCTACCATTGGGTAGGAAATGCTGAGATTCATTAGGGGCAATGTCAAGGTTTTTGGTTTCTTGTTTTTTGTGTGTTTTTTTTCTTCTCATTTTTCCTGTATTCTGTATTTTCTGTATTATTTGAAATGTTACAATGTAAATGTATGTACATCTTATCTAAAAAACTATTATTTCTTCAGTGAATAGTTTTAGCTTAATCCCTTCAGAAGAAACAAAGAAGAAGAAGAACATGGGATTTTAGAGTTATATGGATGTGTGACTTCAAGAAACTTGTCTAGCCCTGGCCAGGTAGCTCAGTTGGTTAGAGTGTCATTCTGATAAGCCAAGATTGTGGGTTCAATCCCTGGGCAGGGCACATACAAGAATCAACCAGTGAGTGCATAAAGAAGTGGAACAACGAATTGATGTTTTCTCTCTCTCTCTCTCTCTCTCTCTCTCTCTCTCTCTCTCTCTCTCTCTCTCTCTCTCTCTCTCTCTCCTTCCCTCCCTCCCTTCTTCCTTCCCTCCTTTCTTCTTTCCTTCCCTGTCTCTCTAAAATCAATGAATAAACAAATTTTTTTTAATTTGTCAAATTCCCTGAAACTTGACTCTTCATTTGTAAAATGGGGGAGTTGAAGTGAAGATTAGTGTAGATAAAGCCTGTGAGATGTGCAGCTGATTTCCTGGCAGAGAAAATATTGGTTGACCTTTGCTCTTTCCTGCATTTGGCCCATGAGAACCTCAAGGGCCAAGAACAGATATCAATTGCCTATATCTATCATGCCTATCCAGATAGAAGCTCACTTACATTTGCTGAAAGAATGAGCGAGTGCACAAGCCACATTGCTTAACTATTAATAAATAAATGTATGTCCACATGTGTTCATTGTTAATGGGTAAACGAGAGATGCCTTTCTGGCTTCCACAGGGAGATCAAATGCTCTGGTTTGTGGAAACAAGAAATCATAAAATACCAGAGATCTAGGTGAGAGAGATTAAGGTTTTTAGAGTGGGAAAACTCATCACATAGATCTGATATTTTCTAACTTTCTTCTTCAGAGCCGTAGGCCCTGCAGAAGAATAGGGCCACCATGGGCAGGGGTGTGGGAGCTAGAAAGCCAAACTGAGACTGTGCTCAGGCTGAGAGATTGGACATACTAATGGACAATGGGCAGACCTTATATGACAATCACAATAGAAATCTGACTCCAACTTTTGCAGCAACTGGCCTGGGAAGCCAAACCACAACCTCTGAAGCTATCAGCCCAGAACATTTAGGACTTGGTCAATGACTGTCAACTTTGCTAACCATGCTGCCCCCTCCACCAACTGCCTCCTCTATTTTTAAGTCATGACCAACCAAAGAAAGCCAAATGCCCTCTCCAAACCAATTGCATAAGAGGCTTCACTTCTAGCTATCCCATTTCTACCTATCTATTCCCCTTCCAGCTTCTGACCAGAACATACCTGCAATCTTCCCTCTTTTTACTCTAAAACTTTTCAATCCTCTGCTGGCTTTGAGTCTCTGCCAAATACTAGTGATGATGGTGGCTGACTCCCTTGATATACAGCAAGCTCCAAATAAACAGATTCAGCGTGTTTTCATTTCAGTGGTCTTTTTATTTCCACAAGGTCTTCTCCCACATTTCTACTAGATACTAGATATATATTATATATTAAGTTTATACATAAATTTTCATTTTAAAGGTTATAGTTGCTATTTTTAAAAACAAATCTCCAATGTAAATTCACACCAAGAGCTAAAGTTCTACTGCTATTTTTTTTTCCCTTCAAATCACCAGTGTAGTTAATGCCAAGAGCCAAACTTCTCAAGGAATCTGAGAAAGGATGCTCAGCTTGCATTAAACTAAAAAACAACAACAAATGATACCGAGACAGGGCAGCAAAAGAGAGTGCTGAGTCTGGACAGGGGACAGAGGTTTCCAGAGATCTCTGTGGGTTTTTTTCCCCCATAAGTCAGGCCCAGCTAAGTCTGGAAACTACAGGGACTGGAGTGGGTAGGTGAAAAGCTTCCTTATCAGCCTCTCCTGGGGGCTGGCCTGGAGTTAACTACAATTGTAATTCTGTTGAAATGTCCACAAGCCACAGATGCAGACAAATAAACCAAATACATGAATAAGGCCTTGGGTGGTTTAAAGAAGAGGAAGATGGTTGGGAAGGTCCCAGCCCCTACCTCTCTGGGAAAGACATCACAGATATTGGAATTGGAGCCTTTCTCATCTAACCATGACTATTGTGTATCTGAATCCCTAAAATTCTCACCATCACTCTATACATTCTGTAAATCTATTTACGGGAAGTCATTCCCAGTTTCCAAAACTGGTGAAAGTCAGTAGGTGTCTCAGTAGAAAAGGAGCTTTGCGTCAAGTAAGTTTGGGGAATGCTGGATGAAACCAAGTTAAACAGATTTCATTTTAGCAGGATTTCGTAAAACCTTCAATAGGATAACATATGCTGTGAGTCTGCAAGAAGAAAATACAACATACAGCATTTTTCAAACTTGTTTAACCACAGAAGTTGATTTCTTGCCCACCTATTTTACATCTCCCTGAACACCATTCCATGACATACAATTTTAGAGACACTATTTTGAGATAATGCTACCTTTCAGGGGAAAACTATTAGCTGGTTAACACTTTTTAATATTTATTGTAACTTACCAAAAGGAAAACCAGGAGGTCCCCTAGGAAGTGGCACAAGAGGCCAATTTTGATAACTGAAGGCCAATCGAGGTTACAGTTGGGTTTCAGGTCAGCCTGGCACAGATTAAGGTTACTAGATATTAAATTCCAGATGGAGAATGTCAAAGATTATCTCCACTAGGTTCGTAATTTTTCTTGACCAACCATAGTAGCATTATCTCTAGGAAGATAGAGAGTAGCCAGGAGAATCACTGTATTAGGTGATAATCAAGATTTCAGCAAATGATTCTCCTACAGCACTTTACTGATGATGGCCTACAGTCCCATTTTTGAGTGGAGAAAACTGAAGGCAGAGAAATGATGCAACTTGCCCAATGGCCCAGCAAAGCCACTTTTCTTTCTGCAACCACACCATGAAGTCTTTGGTGGACCACAGAGGAAAGAGAGTGAAATGTGACGAGAATTCCATGCTCACTTACTTTAGAATGACACAGCCCGTTCCTGCTGGCGGTGCTACCCAGAACACCTGGATCCGTGTTCTCCTCCGTGGGGTGCTTTCCGTGACCGCGACAGGGCAGTTACTCATAAACTGTGTTTCTTCTTCATCTATGATCTATGGAAAGCCAGCGGAAAATAAACACATTAAAATGTGCTTCGATTTGGGAAGGCTCTTATGTTTCTGAGTTGACACTTCCTTAATTTTATTTTTAAACCTGTCATTTTGTGTTAGCAGCTCTGGAGCCCCAGACACCAGAGTAGTGCCTGGCGTAGAGTCCCAGTCACTGCTTGTTGAATTAATGAGAGGGCAAGGATTTGGCATATGTTCTAGGCTCTCCGGGACCAGGATCTTGGGTCAGCACTTTGAGGATCAGTCCACTAGAGGATGATCTTGTTCATTTCACTAACGTAAGCTGTGTCCCGCTTCAGGGAAGGAAGAAGAGGATGGGGAAGAGAAAATCCAAAGCAAACATTCTCTATAGAGCCAGTTGTAACACAACTACAACTTTATAACTTAAAATTAAAGTGTCATAAGAAAACAGCCCTTTGAGAAATATCACAAATTACATAAAGTTCCCCAGCTTCACAGCACTGTTTTCCTGTGAAGTCTTTATTTTGTTTCTTTTTTAAAAATTGATTTTAGAGAGGAAGGAAGGGGGAAGGGAGAGAGAGAGAATCTGGTGTGAAAGAGAAACATCGATCGTCTGCCTCCTGTAGGAGCCCTGACCAAGGATCAAACCTGCACATTTTTGGTGTACAGAAGGACACGCCAACCAACTGAGCCACCAGGCCAGGGCTCTCTACTTTCTTAACTTGTACATTAGACTAGTATTGTCCCAAGTTAACCATCAAGGTTTCCAATGGCACTGAAAAAAAAAAAGCTGATAGCCATTCCCATTCCCCAAGGCTGCTTTCAGCATTTCTTCCGCTTGCGTCTGGGTCTGCTGCCAGTACTTGCCTATTCATTTTAGTAGAGCCATCGACTATGATCTTTTGGGGAATCATCTAAATCCAATTGGTCTGAAGTGCCAACTCCAGTAGGCTGGTATATCATGAGGAGTGTTAATAACATTAATGGACAACATTTATTGAGCATTGAGTATGTGCCAAGCACTAAACTAAGTGCTTACCTGAATTACTCATTTAATCTTCAAATATAACTGAATAAAATTATTAAACCCATATTGTACTTGTTTTACTTTTTAAAAAAAAATCATCTTTTTAGCACAACAGAAAAAAAAAGGCCTCAAACTCTTTAATTCATCACATATTTTCTTCACTGGACAAAGTCAAGGCAGTTGTTTCTGTATTCTTTACCCTGCTCCCATTTCCCTTCTCTATTTAACACTTACTCCTAAATATTTAATATATGAGAGAGAGAGAAAGAGAGAGAGTTACTTACTTGAAGTTACAAAAATTATTTTATATTTTAAGGGTTGTTTTTTCCCCCCCACTTAAACTTATGCTTCTGTGTTACTATATTTGAATGTAATTCTGTTGCCTAGTATGCCATTACATGCATAGACCACATTTTATCTATCCACTCTCCCAGGGAGGAGCATTTATCTGACTTCCAGCTCTTTACCGCCATAAACATTGCTGCAATGGGTCCTCATGCTGCTTGTGAAGGCACATGAGAGTGTCTCAGCAATATAAACCATGTGGTGGGACTGCTAGGCTATTGGGTTGTGGATATAATATTAATTTCACTAGGTACTGCCAGATGGTTCTGCAGAATGACAATGCCTACCTTTCTCCTACTAGCAATGCATGTGTGTTCCCGTTTCCCTATATCCTTACCGGTATGTGATTGTTGGACTTTCTAATAATTTCTAATTTAATAGATGTAAATTAGTATCTTGTTTTAATTTAAGACAAGCACATTTGAGCATCTCCACAATTTTATCAGGTGTCTCCTGTGACCTGTCTACTTAAAATCGCTGTCAGTGGATTTTCCTATCTTTTTTATTTATTTTTTGCTGATTTGTAGGACTTTCTAGATACGAATCTTTTATCATTTACAAATATCTTTCTGTCACTCAGAGGTTCATCTTATCTTTAAATTCTTCATTTAACAGAACTCAATTAATTTTAATCTACCCAAATTCATCAATTTCTCTCCCAGGGCTTGTATTTTTTTGATTTTGTCTAAAAATTGAGATCACAAAGATATCCTCCAATATTTTCTCTCATTAAGTTTATAATTTTACCTTTCACATTTAAGTCTTCAATCTATTTGGAATTTGTTTATTTTTAAATATGATGGAGTAGAGATCCAACTTCATTTCTCTATACTGTGAGCTACTTTAAAAATTTTAAATAAACTTTTTAAAGAGCAGTTTTAAGTTTACTGCAAATTTGAACAGAAATTACAAGAGTTTCTGGATACTTCCCATGCCCACACATGCACAACTTCCTCCATTTTCAACATTAGCACCAGAGTGGTTCATTTGTTATATTAGATCAATGGTTCTCAACCTTTTTAATGCCGCCACCCTTTCATACAGTTCCTCATGTTGTGGTGACCCCCAACCATAAAATTATTTTCGTTGCTACGTCATAATGTAATTTTGCTACTGTTATGAATCATAATGTAAATATCTGTGTTTTCTGATGGTCTTAGGTGACCCTGCTAGAGGTTCTCGCGACTCAAAGATTGAGAACTGCTGCTGTAGAGGTAGCAAATTTACAGTTATGAAGTAGCAACAAAAACAATTTTATGGTTGGGGGTCACCACAACATGAGGAACTGTATTAAAGGGTCACGACATTTAAAAGGTTGAAAACCACTGTATTAGATGAGCCTACATTGACACATCATTACCATTCAAAATCCATAGTTTATATTGTTGGTGCTGCACATTCTAACGGTTTTGAGAAATGTATAATGACATGTTGCACATTCTAACGGTTTTGAGAAATGTATAATGACATGTGTTGTACTGAATAGTTTCATTTCCTCTGTGCCCTACCTATTCATCCTCCCCACTCCAACCCTTCAAAAAAAAAACTTGGCAACCTTTAATTTTTTAATACAATCACTTATTAATTCCAGAAGTTTCTTTATCTTTTTTTTTTCAGATTTCCCTACATATTATCATGTCACTTATGAACAAAGACTTTTATTTCTTCCTTCCCAATCTGTATACCTTTTCTTTCCTTCTATTGCTTTAGTGGATTATCTAGGACTTCCAGTATCATGTTGAAAAGTGGTGATGAGAGGGGATCTTAACAGGAAAGTTTCAAGTTTCTTACCAATAAATATGAGATTAGCTATAGGTTGTTTTTTGTAGATGTTGTTTATCAAGTGGAGGACTTTCCTCTCTATTCTTAGTTTGCTGAGTTTTTAATATGAATGTATATTGATTTTGTCAAATGCTTTTTCTTTATCTATTAATATGATTATGTGATTTTTCCTCTTTATCATGATTATGTGATAGATTACATTTATTGGTTTTTAAATGTTGAAACAACTTTGCATACTGGTATAAATCCCACTTGGTTGGGTGTACAATTCTTCTTATATATTGTTGGATTCAATTAGCTAATATTTTATTGAGAATTTTTGTGCATATGTTCATGAGAGATAAGGTTATTAGTTTTCTTGCAATGCCTTTTAGTTTGTTTTTTTTTTAAATATATTTTATTGATTTTTTACAGAGAGGAGGAGAGAGGGATAGAGAGCTAGAAACATCAATGAGAGAGAAACATCGACCAGCTGCCTCCTGCATACCCCCTACCGGGGATGTGCCCGCAACCAATGTACATGCTCTTGACCGGAATCGAACCTGGGACCCTTCAGTCCGCAGACCGACACTCTACCACTGAGCCAAACAGGTTTCGGCTGTCTTTTAGTTTTAGTATTAGTGTGATGCTGGCTTCGTAAAACGAGTTATGAATTAGAGAATATGTACAATTTCTTCCTTAAATGTTTGATGGAATTCACTAGTGAACTTATCTGGGCCTGGTGCTGTTTTGTAAAGTTATTAATTATTGATTTAATTTCTTTATTAAAAATATGTCTATTTAGATTGTTAATTTCTTCTTGTGTGAATTTTGGCAGATTGTGTCTTTCAAGAAATTAGACAATTTCATCTAGGTTATCAAATGTGTGGGCATAGTTATTTATAATATCCCTTTTTTATTTAAAATATTTATGTATCCTTATCCCCTCATTACCCTCCCATCGCCTCCCAACTCATGCCCTCACCCCCTTGTTGTCTGTGTTCATTGGTTAGACTTATATGCATGCATACAAGCCCTTTGGTTGATCTCTCCTTGCCTCCACCTTTCCCTCCCCTACATGGTCTGATCAATGTTTCTCTGTCTCTGGATCTTTTTGTGTTCATCAGTTTATGTTGTTCATTATATTTCATAAATGAGTGAGATCATGTGATAATTCTTTGTTATTCTTTTAATGGACATAGAATTTGTAGTAATGTCCCTTCTTTCATTTTTGATATTGGTAATATGTGTTGTCTCTCTTTTTTCTTAGTCAGCCTGACAAGAGGCTTATGGGTTTTATTTATCTTTTCAAAGAGCCAGCTTTTGGCTTTGTTGATTTCCTCTATTGATATCCTAGTCTCAATTTCATTGACTTCCACTCCAATTTTTATTATTTATTTTCTTCTGCTTACATGAATGTAATTTGATTTTCTTTTTCTTGTTTCTGGAGGTAGAAGTTTAGATTATAATTTTTAGACCTTTATTCTATCCTGATATATATATTCAATGGTATAAATTTTCCTCTGAGAATTGCTTTTGCTGCATCCAATGAATTTTGATAAGGTGTATTTTAATTTTCACTTAGTTTTAAAATTTAGTTTGAAGTTTAATAGATTTTAAATTTAGCTTGAAGTTTCTTCTTTGACCTATGTATTAGTTAGAAGCATGTTGCTTAATCTCCAAGTATTTGAAAATTTCTGTTATTGATTTCTAGTTTAATATCAGGGTGGTCTGAGAGCAGTCATTGTAGGCTTCCCATTCTTTTAAACTTAAGGTGTATTTTATGGACCAGAATGTGGTCTATGTTGGTGAATGTTCCATATGAGCTTTAGAAGAATGTGTAATCTATTGTTGGATGAAGAAGTCTATAGATGTCAATTATATCCAGTTG